AGCCCAGCGACGCGGGAGCGGGACATGCTGGAGCTGCGGCACCGCGGGGGCTGCCCCGGCCCCGGGGGAGCGGGGACGCCGCCACCCCGCGAGGGAGAGGCGGCCGGCGGCGACCACGAAACTGAGAGCACCAGCGACAAAGTGAGTGAGTGAGTGAGTGAGTGGGGCGGGGCCGGGGCCGCGCCCCCCGGAGCGGGCGTGCCGCGGGGGTCCTGCGTGTCCGTCCCCCCCTCCGGAGAGTGCGAGCTGCGCACTTGAACCTGACTTCTTCCCCCGATCCCCCAGCCTCCACTCCTCCCCGCTCTGGGGTCGGGATGGAACCCGTCACCGCGGGCGCTCCGGCTGTCTTGTGGCCGCCACCTCTCTCGCCTTTCCCTGGTAGGGCGACAAAGTTGGGAGTAAACTTAAGACGGGCACCTTGGGCTCCGGGCTGTCATTGGAGCCTGACGCAGACGGGCTCTGGAGCTGCTCCAAGCTGCGCTTTCGTTTCTCTGTTCTTTTTCCGGGCAGATAGATTCCGGAGGGCTGAGGCTGTCGTACACCGGGAGCACGTGAGTGCCTGGCACTCAGGGCAGTAGTCGTCCCACCCCTGGTTTTCATTTAAGCGAACAGGCTAATTCCAGACTTTGCGTACCCCTCACCTTTAAAATAGATCAACCTTGCATGCAGAGGTAGTACCATTATTATAGTTAAGGCTGCAAAGTGTCAAGAGTTTAGGTGTGTTTCCTAAACTGGTGCCAGTAAGAACTTTTGGAGGAAAAAAAAAAACTGCAGTTTTATCACCGTATGAAATAGGTAGATTGGGAAATTGGGCCAGAGAATGCATTCATTATAAAAGCTTATGTTTACAGAATTCCACTCCGCTTGAGAAACTCAAAACTTTTGAAACCATTCTTAGAATTCTTTTGTGGAAGATCAGGTGTGGTGGTGTTTGCCCGTAGTCCCAGCACTAGGGGATAGGGAGAGGTGGAGGCAGGGAAATCATTCTTAGCTCTGTAGTAAGCTCAAGGCTGGCCCTGGTATCCAAAAACAAACAAACAAATTACTGAAGTTGCCTTGGGATGGCCCAAGGTCAAGCTCACTGCGTTTTGGTACTGGAACCCAACCTTCCCATCTCCGTCTGCTGTTCTGACAACCCTTGCAGCCTGATTGTTCCTCTCAAAACTTATGTTAATGAACTTGATGGAGCTTGAGTTACACATCTGTGCTAAGATAACACGGAAGCAATAAATAGGAAGGTGATTTTAGGATCCGAACTTCAGACTCAATGAGTTGGCAGCTGCTTTCCTATTCTTGAGGGGCATGAGGATGAAGTGAGAGTCTGGGAAGTACATGTGCCAAGGAAATAGACAGAATACATTTCCCGGCTCTGGAAGGTTGAAAACTGGATGCAGTGGGCTAAGAACAGCCTTTGTGAAAACTGCCTTGGAAACTAGACCAAAAATAGAATTAATTAGGTTGGGATTTTGTTTTAGCACTGGTATCCTTTGGAATCAAGGAAATACCAGCCTCCTCATGTTGACTTCCTTAACTCGAGAAAGCTAACGAGCTCTTATTAAGACAAAGCATGTCCCCGAAAACGGGAAACAGTGCATAAAATAGCTTTTGAATTTATTTGCTTACATTTCAAACACCATAACGTATTTAGGATAGGAATGGCGTCTGTGGTGTCCTTGGACTCATTCGAGTCCTCGGCATCTCCCTTGGTGACTTGTTTACCCCGCTGGCCTGTGTGTTTCTGTATAAGAGCTGTGTTGCTAGCTGTCGTTGATAGAGATTTTGGTGGATGTGGCTTTCCGAGATGAAATGTGTCCATCCGTAACTCGTTCTGTCATGAGTTCTTAGACGAGGGTGAGCTTGTTCAAACTGTGCGGAAATGTCGCTGTACTTCCAGATCCCCGTCTCAAGGAGCCCTTGACTCGCTAGGCTCTAAGGCCTTGAGCTGTATCCTCTGTCTGTCCTTTCTTATCGGGGTGTGTATTTGAACACACCTATATTTCCAGGTCAAGGGCTATTTTTAAATCAGTTGCCTGTTGGAGGCTGGTTAATATTTGGTCCATCGAAACTCTTTAAGTGCTGTTCTGTTCAAGAGCCAGTAAAGAAGAAGGAAAAAAAAAACCTTTTGAAATTAATGCAAGAAGTGGAGGAGGTGCTTTCTATCCTGCTGTTAAAATGCACTCCTGTGCTTTGCCATTTTGTAGCCTTTATAATGGTATTGTTAAGTTGACATTTCCATTGTTCAGGACCCCGAGACTTCTGCCCAGAGAAAGCTCTGTGTCCCAGAGAATTAACGTGTGAAAAAAGTGCTCCTTTACCTCGAGGAGAATGTACCAGGACTTGAAATGGCCAAGCAGTACCCGACAGAACAAGGACCCCCTCGCCCAGCCCTACCCTGGAGCCTTGTGTGGGTTAGATTCAGTAGACAGCTGTGAAGGCCTTGTAAGCATTGGGGGCCTGAATGAACTCTACTTGGAGAATGTAGGAGAAGCTTTAAAGAGGGTTGAAGTAGGAAGTCAAGATGCCTGGGAATTCAGTCATGTGGACTAGGGTTAGGGCAGGGGTTAGGACTGGGGTTAGGGCAGGGTGTTCTAGGCAAAAGGCATACAGAACTGCTTCTTGACTCAGCGTTCTAGGGACAGAACCCAGAAGTTAGTTTGGAAATCCCAGGGCATAAACTCGGCCTGTTTGGAAGGTGGGGTTGAGCGCTGGCCAGCCTTGCAGCCTGTGATGTTCCTCTTTACTCATGGACTCTGGGAAGCTGCTGCGCTGGGCTTCGTTGTTGCTTTGGTTACTGGTTTCCTTTGAAGTAGCTCTTCCTGTGTAGTCCAGGCTGAGCTGGAACCCACCATCCTCTTGTCTTTGCCTCTCTGGTGCTGGGGTTGTGTGTGTGTGTGTGTGTGTGTGTGTACCACCACACCTCTCTTGCCACCGGAAACTTCTGCAGAGACATGCATCGCTCAAGAGCAGTGGTCTAGAAAGTGCTGGAAGGGGGGGACCCCGAAAAGGAGGGCGTTGCAGAGCTGTCTAGGGGAACTGATGGGCCAGTTGTCAGTCTCGGGGAGATGGTGGCCTACAGTGGAGAGAAAGCACGTTCTGTCAAAAGGTGGTGGTGGGACCATGATATCAGTCACGGTAAGACTGAGGAAAGAGCGCCCATGTTAGAAAAGAGTTAGGGATGTAAAGAGTAGCAAAGGTGAAGATCCTGAAGGCTAAAAGAGGAGGGACTGGGGGGCTGGAGAGATGGCTCAGAGGTTAAGAGCACTGGCTGCTCTTCCAAAGGTCCTGAGTTCAATTCCCAGTAACCACATGGTGGCTCACAACCATCTGTAATGAGATCTGGCGCCCTCTTCTGGCCTGGCCTATAGGGATACGTGCAGACAGAACACTGTACACATAAAACAAAACAAAACAAAAACAAAAAACAAGAGGAGGGACTGCTTGGAAGGTGTCCTCAGTAGCACTCTAGAATACAGGCCGAGACACACCCAGGATTTAGCCAAAGATCTTAGTGGAAACCAAGCTCTATGCTAGGGAAGCGAGCTAGGGAAGCGAGAGGAGCACACTTGGTAGCTCTTGTTGGGAGGTGACAGTGTAGGGCTGTAAGATAGGAGGACCAGCCCTCCAGACTCAGAAGAAGAAGGGATGTGCAGAAGAAGGGGTGGAGAGACTGTAAGAGCCGGAGGGGATGGATGGCTCACCGCAGGACTCATGCACGTGTGAAGTCACTGGAGACCGAGGCCGCATGCACAGAACCGGCACAGGTCCAGGCCAAATGGAGTCCCAGCACGGAGAGCCGGGAAGTGGACACAGGCTCCAACCCCTAACCAGGAAACTATCAGCATCGGATACCTACTTGCCAAGAGAAGATCAGCTCTCTCCAGTAGAGTGTCACTGGGTGTATCAACCGTATCCCCGGGCAGGCCCCAGGTCCAGGAGTTGTTGGCCAACACGGAATGAATGAACTCAGTGGTAGTTTTGTGGACTTCTTGTTTCACTTTGGTTTTTTGTTTTGAGAGAGAGAGGGAAAGAACATAAAGTTGGGTGGTTAGGGAGGTGGGGAAGAACTGGGAGGGGTGGAGGGAGGGGAAATGTGATTAAACTATATTGTATGAAAAATTTTTTTTCGTTACCAAAGGATAAGGGAAGATGTTGTTTTCGGTGGAGGGAGGTGTGTTCTTAGAAAGAGGTCAGAGAGAGGTGAGGTGCTGACATGGATGAGGAGGCCTAAGCACTGGGCAGGAGTGAGTGGAGAGCACAGGGCAGTGTACATATATACCAGGGAAGCAAAGACGGACGGACAGACGCTTCTTCATTGAGGGAAAAAAGCAGACATAGAGTCCAGAACCATTTTGAAAAGCAGAAGAGCAAAGATCCAGCTGTTTGCCTTGGGCCCTCCACTTTCTCTGTCCAGTGAGCACTCATGAATCTAAGAAACAAACGAGCTTAGCCGAACACACTGGTGGTTTCCTTTTTAAGACTGGGGACATTAAATGACCAGGAAGCGGTTAACAGATGTGTGCAGATTGTTAGCACCAAATCTGCATGGTTGTTAAGTAAGTCTCAGCATTTGATGTTTGTGAAGGGGGGATCAGTTCCGAGGCTGTCCTGGGCTTTTTCACTTGCTCCTTACAGTGTGTGCAGAGTAACAGCTGAGGGGAAAAGCAGTTGGTGTCTCACAGCGGGAGAGCAGGTGTGACAGAACTGGGATGCCTCTCGATGTGAAGACTCGCTTATGATGGGTCACTGCAATACAGATGTGTGGAGACAGCCAGGAGGGTATTGAGGAAGATCAGCATCTTTCAACCGAATGTTCTGCCCATCAGCACTTCCTGTTGACAGCTGATGTGTCATTGAAATGCTCCCTCTAGGTCCTCCGAGGATCAGGGCCTTCCTGAGCAAGTGTGTTCAGGAATAAGCTAGGCCACTACAGTCAGTTCTAAAGTTGTGGATGTGTAGACAGAAAGCTGTGGGGAGGTAAGGATTGGTCCTTGGCCATTTAAAAGTCTTTTTTTTTTTTATATTTAGGATTTCTAAAGAGCAGCCTGGTGTTACTGCATGAAGTTTTACGTGTTGGGTCTTGACTTTTAGCAATTCATCTTAGCATTTTGAGAAATTTCCCACAAAATATTATCAGCTGTCTA